AAACTCTACAGTAGTGTCGGGTAATGTGCTCGGCCTTCACATTCACTCAACACTCACTCAACTGACTCAGCCAGAGCAACTTCCAGTCCTGCAAGCTCCATTCGTGGTTAAGTGCCCTATACAAGTATTCTGCATTTTTATCTTTTATTCTGTATTTTACTGTACCTTTTCTATGTTTAGATACACAAATACCATTGTGTCACAACTGCCTACAGTATTCAGTACATTAACATGCTATACAGGTCTGTAGCCCAGGAGCTACAACAGTCTAAGTACGTAGTAGGCTGTACCACTTAAGTTTATGTAAGTACATTATATGATGTTCACACGATGACAAAATCGCCTTATGTCGCATTTCTCAGAATGTTCCCTATTGTTAAATGACACATGATTGTAATTTACTAACTGATGTCTCCACTATTTCTAGACAGTCTTGGCTCTTCCCAGGCATATGATGCCATGCTCAGGACTACAGCATCCCCCTAAGACTCGGACTGGAACGTAAACTATGTGAGGCAGGGATTTATTCTGCCTTGTTCATTGCCTGTGCTTAGAATAACCACCAGCAAATAGTGATAAATAAATATTTATCTTTCAGTTACCAACACAAATCATCTTTGCTCTTTATTATGCTCATATCTAGGTATAGCTCTATAATCTGCTCCAATAACATGTTCTGATAATGTTCTATGAACTCTTGAGAGTAAATTACAAGGAAGTTATCCTTTGTTCCAAGGAAAGCACAGGAAAAGGCATCTATGTTAAGCCTCGTCCACCAGAGTAAGAGGCTGGTACGCTACCCATTACTTACAGCATAAAGAAATGTACACTTTAGCAGAGCGACAAGTAAAGGATTTTACATCTTTTTGTTGTTGTTAGTTTTAACTCATTGTTCAAGATATTTAAGGGACCAATATTCAAATATCAAAGTAGTGCCCATCTAAAAATATCTGCCTTATTCCTTTACAATGGCAACAAAGTTGAAAGGCTACCATATTATATTTGGTAGTATAAAGGTATTCCTCACTATCTGAATCTTAATTACCTGAATTTGGGCACTGAACGATTTGGATAGTGGGGGATGCCTGTAATTTATAAGGACCTTTGGAAATGACAGTATTGTAGATTATATCTATTGCTAATGGAATGAGAAAAAGGATGTCCCTGACATCGCCTCCTTATGGAATTATGCTTTAGCGTGAGTCAGACTAAATGTTTAGATACACAAATACCATTGTGTCACAACTGCCTACAGTATTCAGTACATTAACATGCTATATAGGTCTGTAGCCCAGGAGCTACAATAGTCTAAGTAAGTAGTAGGCTGTACCACTTGAGTTTATGTAAGTACATTATATGATGTTCACACAATGACAGGTCCTAAGATGAGAAAGTGCAAAAATACAGAACTTAAGAGCCAAAGAGACTTTAAGATCACCAGTCCAACTCCTTCAATTTGCAGATGAAAATGAGGTCACATGCCCAATGCCACACAACTAACCTGCATCATGAGAAGAACACAGCACTGCTGCCCAATAATCTCTCAACTATACCGGATAGGGGTCAGTTTCCTATCCTTTTCACAAACACACAAAAAAGTACAAATGATGAATTATTCTGAAGTACTCCCAGAAATGCATACCTGGACATGCCTTTAATGATGCCCAACACAAACACAAAACATTAATTTTTACTTGACCTCAGGTCTCTCTCACGTCACAGGAGTATCTATGTTAATTCACAGTGGGTAAGATGTGCGTGTGAGCGGCATGCTTAGGTGCAAGGTAAAAAACACCTGATCAATGCTAAGAATACCTTTGCAATTATTCTCTAATATGTATTTTTCTCCTGGTTCCTTCATTATCCAAATTTAATTTGTATTCAACTTTTAGTGTGCCTGTTTTTTGATTCTTCTTGTGAGCTTCACTAAACCCAAAGCAATGATGCTGCTTAAACAGGAAAGGGTAAGTAAAACTATTACACATCAGTTATAAGCTAAATATTTTTCAATTTTTTATCAAATTTAACACAAGATCTCTTGTCAAATACCCTATATTTATACTTAGGAGAAAAGGCATAGAACTCAAGTATACTTCTGAAACATAAAAGGCAAAGAAAGCTTGAGGAAAAAAAGAGCAATGCACCATGGCCTTCTCTCACCTTTCTCCTGTTTGCCTGGAACACAATAACCCCATCTTTTTGTCTGGCTAATTCCTTTAAGTCACAGTTCAGTGTCTACATCCTCTAGGAAGTCTTCTTTGACCTTCACTGCCAAATCCAGTTATAGATTTCTACCACAAAACTTATTGTAACTGTCTGCTTCCTTAACTGAGAGTTCCAGAAGTCAAGAGTCTCCTTTTTATCTCTCTGACCTCAGTATCTAGTATAGCACATAGATCAGAGGCACTCATGATGAAAGATTAAATAAATGAGACTACAGTCTACACCATGTCACAGAAATATTTCTACATTTTTTTTTTTAACTACAGACTAAAGTTATTGCCTGACCTCTTGAAATCCTTGTCTTTCTCAAGATGTCCATGGTGTTAAGGCAGTGAGAGAAACTCCTGCAAACGTGGCAGGAATCGTAGCTGCTACCACCGCTAACCTCCCCACCAACTGCTGTTGTGCTTTCTGGTTCACCCGTTAGTTTCGCACTTCCAGAGAGAAAGAACGAGGAGGAGGTGAAGTGCTTTCGTTCTTCAGGGAATCCATCTCCAGAATGCCTACATTTGACACACAACTTATGGATGATGACTGAAGAGTGTGTTTTTAAGATTCTTAGGAGTCCTAATATGCATCAATGATAAGACATTAAGTGTAACTATATGGAATAGAAGAGAAATAGATGGAAAAAAAAAGTCTCCATGGGGAATCATTAAGTCTCAAGCAAGATTCCCACTCCAGAGATAAAAGCAGAAAATCTGGGGACAAGGCCTGGCAATGTGTGTTGTAACAAGATCTCTAGGTGATGCAAGCTCCAGTGTGACAACTGTTGCTCTAAGTTACTTCTTCATTCAATTTATCACCTGTTATAGCAAAGAAACGCCAAAATTTTAAGAAAGACTATAGAATAAAAATTTTAAGAAATTACATCACCCAAAATTTTTTCTGAGAATTAGGAAAAGTTCACCAATAAATCATTTTAGCAGTAGCACCCTTCAACTCAGTTCAGACACAGACTGAGATCCACTCTAATTTATAAGTAATTTTAACTAAACATGAGTTAATCATCCAAACTGGAACAAATCCATGACCTTGGGTCTTATTTATATTGTGGTCCACAGATAGTCTGAACTGAAGCTACCTTAGTGTAAAAGGCATGACCATGGCTGAATTTCACCAGTACGGACATACTGCACACGTCTGGATGTTGTCTAGCAGATGCTTCCGCACTCTCCACGTGTTCATACAACAGCTGTCAGTAAAGCCAAAGACTTGACTTAGGCTCACAAATGAAAATTTTGTAAAAGCAGTTCTAATAAAGCTATCAATAATTTTGGGGCTATTTATAAATTTTTAGCTTGAAATGAATATATATGCTACTAACTAATCATCAAGTCATGTTTGTTCTGTCCTCATGAGTGTGGAATCTGTTCTTGCTGGCATGATCTGGACTAAAAGCTTACATATTAAAGGCAATGACAGGCCGGGGGTGGTGGCTCATGTCTGTCATCCTAGCACCCTGGGAGGCCGAGGAGGGAGGATCGTTTGAGGTCAGGAGTTCGAGACCAGCCTGAGCAGGAGTGAGATCCCGTCTCTGCTAAAAAAATAAAAAGAAATTGGCCAGACAACTAAAAATAGAAAAAATAAGCCTGGCATGGTGGCGCACGCCTGTAGTCCCAGCTACTCAGGAGGCTAAGGCAGGAGGATCACTTGAGCCCAGGAGTCTGAGGTTGCTGTGAGCTAGGCCAATGCCACGGCACTCTAGCCCAGTCAAGAGAGCAAGACTCTGTCTCAAAAAAATAAAAATAAAAAAGTAAAATAAAGGCAATGA